CCTGAGCTTGCCAGGGTCTGTGAGTGGGCACCTGAGCAGCTCAGTTCACCAACTCTGTTAGAGGAGGCCCCAAAGGTCACCAAGGCTTCAGAGATAAAGGGCACTCAACCAGTCCCTGATGGTAGATGAGTAAAGAGGAAGGCTCTGTAGAGACACAGAGCCAGGAAATACCCGGTTGTTTGCAGGGCGCTCAGAGGACCATTGACAGCCAGCTCTGCAATCTCCACTGCACTTGCCAGTCAATGGCCCTTAAGAAGAACAATGGAGGCAGGACAGCATGAAGATTCCTCCCTGGTGCTGGACAACAAGGTGCTGGAATGTTCTGCCATTTATTTGTGTGGGTCCTTGGAAGACTAGGGCTGAGGTGGGTCAAGGAATCACTAAAGTACCAAAAATACCCACCAGAGGGTGCCACTTTGTAGCATAAACCTGGCTACCAAGTGGACCCTCCATGGAGGTCAACTGTCTTCCAGCCCCAGCCAGCCTGTTGCCTGGCAATGGGCTCAAAAGCAAAAAGCAAAAGTGGATGAAATAGCCAATCGCCATGGTACCTGTCAGCTCTCACTGCAACTGAGTGGCTCATCTGCCAGCACCAGTGGCCACACCTAACCCCTAGACTGTGTTCCATAGGGACCAGTGTGCTGCCTGAGAGGAAATGAATTACATCAGAACCTTGTTCTCCCAGGAATAGATAGATTCAGGGCTGCTTTTCATGTCTAACTCTCCACGGCCAGCACCACCATCTGCAGGCTTCTGGAACACTTCAGCTTTGCCTGCTGGGTCCATGCCATGGCCCCTCCAACCCAGAAGCCAATTGTAGGGAAAGTAGCAAGATTAGCGCCTGGTTCAGGATTCATAGTGCCCCACCTTCCCTGAGAACAGAAGGGCCTGGATGCTCCAGCGCCTCAGAGTCACCCAGTTGTTGTGCAGGAGGGTTTGCTCTGATCATGCTGCTGACTTAACTTGGCCAGAAGACAAAGTACCAAGACTAGAAGACTAGAAACAGGTAGAAAGGCACATGATAGTTCTAGAGAGCCTCCGACGAGTCTCCCTCTAGTCTCCAGAGTTCTTAGGGTACCTGGGGTGGGGGGACTGCATACCAGGGGGTACGATAACTTTTCTTCCCACCAAGAAGCTAAAGTTGGTTTTTCTCATCTCTTCAAGCCACCATGGGAACAGGATGATAGAAGAGTGTATAAGCCTGGGGTTGGGCATAGGGGCTCTGTCCTTGACTACAGTTTGTGCCTCTGTTTCCCATCTGTAAAATGGGGCTGAAATGATACGTCAGCATTCCATAAGGATTAGCCGTTGTTGCTATTCATGTGATTACCAGTCTGGCTATCAAGGGGACTGGGGCTGCTGGCAAGCAATGAGAACTGGAAGGTCCCCTGGGTTCCTCCCTGCAGACAATACAGGATCCAACAATGGAAGGACCTCCAGGGCAAAGGAGGTCTGCATGGCCCCACCAAGGAAAGGACACAGCAGTTAAGCCCTAGCTGGAGAGGGACATAAAGATGTGCCAGGCGTGGTGGTGCACTCCTTTAATCCCAGCAGAGGCAGGCGGATCTCTGTGAATTCAAGGCCAGCCTGGTCTACATAGTGAGTTCCAGGCCAGCTGGGGCCACAGAGAGACCCTGTCTCAAAAAGACAAATAAATAAATGAATAAATAAATGAATAAATAAATACATACATACATAAATAAATAAATTCTTGCCATTAGGCTCCACTATCCATCCCCTGACCAGTCAGGTGAGGCACTAGCCCTGAGCTTTCCTCCCCTGGCCCAGGTCCACCCCCAGCTAAGACCCAGTGTCACCATCACCATCACCATCACCTCACCAATGCCCCCTATGTGCAGACACTCACTTCTGACAGTGTCCAGAATCTGTTCCTAGCTTTCTGCATGCTGCTGTGTGTTGTGCTTTCTCTCTGGAACACCCAACCCTGATTTCTGCTGGCTTTTTCCTTCTGTTCCTTGAGTTGGCCCTTGTGACTATGAGTTAGGCACCCTAGGGTCAGCATCAGCACAGTTTTGACTGCCACAAGGCTCTCCACTTGCTCTCCCAGCATCCTGGAGGCTATACCAGGTTGTGGTCCAGCTTCCTACAATGTGTCTGGTACATCTCAGAGCCTGCAGGGAGTCAGTGATCCTGCCTGCTCTCTCCCCTCACAAACCGCAGAAGAATTCCAGAAGGAAAATACAAAGACAGAGAGAGGCTTCCTTTGTTAAAAGATGGCAAACTGTTAGGTTTCAAAAATAACTTAAGACGGGATTTCTTTTTTATTCTCCAGTAAGTACCCAGACGTTGCCAAATCTATTTAGGAGGGCCTCAGAGAGCCTCCCCACCCTAATAGTCCTGGGCCCAGCACAAGGCTTTGTCTGAGAGGAATGTCTGATTGGGGGAGGGGGGCTGCTGGCCAAGGCCAATGGTGCTTCTGAGAGGAGACAGGGCTCTGCAGATCCTGCAGAGGAGGTTGGCCTGCACCCCAGCTCACCCCAGTCTCTGGGACCTGCTCTTGGCCCATCAGCCCCCATCCAGGCCGCCCGCTTGTAGGGACTCATTTTAATTAATGCCAGAGCTGGGCCAACCACTGGGGCCGTGACACTTGTTTGCAGGTCATCTCCTCCTAACAGGCTCGCCCTGGGAGGGGATTTGTCTCTAATTGAAGCCGAGATCAGTTAATGAGGCTGTGGGGCCTTGGGTTCCAGAGAACAAGGAAGAAGAAAATAAAATCAAGCCTCTGTCCTTGGCAGTTTTGTGATATACACGCACAAAAGAAAAGAAAGAAAGCTGCCGATTTTCCAAGTCAGAAACTCTGCTCCATCTGCCCGAGTGAGCCCCTCACTGTGTGAAGTCATCAGGCTGAGGGACAAGCCACTGCTAAGGCTCTGGCTCCTGGAAGGGAAAGGGGGGCCTTGAGAGGCCAGTGATCAATCAGCAGTCTAATTAATGGGTATTTATGGAGCAGGGCTCTGTGCTCCCCTCTGTGGGCACAAGACAGGTGTCTATCCCTGGCAAATTTGTAATCCAGCTGGGGACGGTGAGAGGACAGGGACAGGGTATGATTGAGTGTGGAAAGAACACTTGAGTCTGAGACTTGAGTCAAGGAAAGTCTCCTCTGGGGGGGACTCTGGGGCCAAACAGGGAGGAGGAAGAGGGCATCCCCCACTGTACAGACACAGCCCAGCATGAGACCCTAAGTCCCCATTGGATCCTGTCTTCAGATCCCCCACCCACCAATGTGAGCAAGGTTCAGGCCTGGGAAGTGTTGGCAATGGGATGAATGGGATCCCAAGAGGACTGGGACACAGAGGCCAGAGCTCTGGGAAGCACAAGTCCTATTCCTGTGAGCCCCAGGCCCTCAGGGGAACGTCATGTCACGAGGTCAATGACCCCTTTATTCAAGCCCATCCCTATGCGGCTTCCTCCTCCCAGGTCCTGCCACCTCACCTGAACATCTCCAAAAGGAAAAGGATGTTGAGGCAGCCAAGCCAGGTGGGCTCTGGACTCCTCCTGTGCTAAGAAGCAGGGAGGCAGTGGGTGAGCTCTCTCCCGTCTCTGGAGAGCCCCTGGTCTCTGACCAGAGTCAGGGATTTATCTGACTCCCAAACCAAGTTCCATTCAGGGTAGCTGGGTAGTTAGCAGTCTCTCTGCTCCATCTATGGGTTTGGCTGCATGTGGCTGCTAACTGGCAGCAAGACATGAGGATTTAGGGAAGGAAAGCGATCCCGGGCACAAAATGGGATGCCCCACTTAACAGCCACTTGGAGATAACTTGGTCTACGTGGGAGTAAAACAAATGAGGCCATTTCAGGACAGTCCCCAAACCCTACTTTAGAAGAACAGCACCAGTAATTATCATGTAGGACAAAATGGGTTATTACACAGTGTGAACAATTATGTTTTACAAAAGGGGGTTTTACCAAAATATTAGTATACACGAGTCTTTCATTATGTTGATTCATATTTCCTTTTTTATTTTTTTTGAGACAGGGTCATATAGCA